GAAGGGGGGGGGGGGGAGATCTGGGTCAATAAGAGCGGGGAGGGGGTACGAAAAACAGGCAGAAGGGGGGGGACGAGATATAGGTCAATATGAGCGGAGGACGTGCGAGTTCGAGCGAGCAGCTCAATCCGGCGAGGGCCGCAGCCGACCCACGCAGTCGCCATGCGACACGAAGGCGAAGGCGTCGCACGGCGAGCGGCCTTCCACGCGCGGGAGCGAGAGGCGCGCGACCGCGAGGCGGCGCAGGGCCTCGCCGAGCTGCCGTCGGATGAGGCGGCGGGGGTGAAGGAAGTCAGCGCCCGCGGGGTGCTCGAAAGTGTGGCGGAGAGCGGACCAAACTACGTGACGCTGCCGGCAGCGGAGAGACAGAAGGCGCGGCGGGAGCGGCTGCGGGTGGTTGAGGCGGCGAGGCAGGCTGGACAAGCCATCGTCGACACCGGCACGCACGTCGAGATTCTGGGAGTGCAGGAGAGGTGGTGGCCGGCCACCATCATGGGGCGGCAGCAGGATGTGGACGGTCGGCTCGTGCACGAGGTCGAATACGACGGCTATCCAGGCGAGCAGTACTGGCACGTGCTGGACGACGAGGAGTGGCGGGTTGTGACGGCGCCGGCGTCGGATGCCGCTGACGCAGCCGCTGACGCCGCCGGCAATGCTGCCCCTGCCAACGGCGAGGAGAGCGACAGCGAGGAGAGTGGCGATGAGGCCGCCCCCGCAGCTCTGACGCGGTTGGGAGTGCAGCGCAGCGCGCTGGCTGACGTGCTCGAGGACCTGGAGGACGAGCTGCAGGAGGAGGCCACGCGAGGCGACGACCAGCCTCTGCTGTCGCCGCACGGGCCGAACCTATCGAAGGCCCTGCGGTATGTGCGCCGACGGCTGCGCGAATACTTGAGTGACCAGGCCGAGAAGGGGAAGACGGTGCCGATGCAGCAAACCTCTCGCGGCCTGCACCCGACCATCCGGTGGACGATTCGGTTCGGCCAGTGGCTGGCGACGACGCGTAAATACACGTCGAAGGCAAGTCGCTGGGACTTCTCCGGCCAGAACAACGGGCGAGAGCAGGTGGCGGTGGTGCGCACCGGCCGCGGCGAAGACTCGGTGTACGTCGCGATCCAGCACATGAAGAACCACGTCTGGCGCGAGGTCTGGCCCGCGATGCCGGCGGTCGGGTCGGTCGAGGCGAAGCAGTACTGGCGGCTGGCGACGCACCACGTGATGTCCCTCTTCGACGGCGGCGGCGGCGGGATGAAGCGGGCGGCCGAGCTGGCTGGGAGGGCGGCAGGGCAGGCGGCAGCGCATGCGAGCGCGGCGATGGGCAAGAGCGCGGCACAGCAGCGGAAGGCGAGCGAGAAGGCGACCAAGAAGGCGACCAAGCATACTATGAGCACATACACACACATTATCGCACACTCTGTGGCAGCTCCGTTCCACGTGCGCGACGCGGGCGTGGGAGCCGACTATCATCGCGTTCTCCACACACATCGATCATCGTCATCGAACGCCGAGAATGATTCTCTTTGCACTTTGAAACCGGACTTTGGACTTTGCCGGCAACAGCGCGCTCTGAGATGTGAGATCTGAGAACGATAATCGATATATGGTCAAATAACGCCTGGCGCTGGCGGCCTGCTGAGTCGTGAGTGCTGTTTCGGGGGCAGCTTTTCAGAAGCCGACGAGCGTACGTTGTACGTAGAAACGTACGCACGCACGCAACCCCATACACGGCTCTATGCCATACTGGGCTGGGTTTTTAGGCATTGTGGGGTTGGCACTCCCATCGACCCTCATGACCTCCTGCGGTCTCTGAGATGGACACCAGTGGGTGTGGGGCCTCAGCCAGGATACACTCGAAGGCTGGGTAAGCAGTAGAGGTCGATACTCGACGCGTCACACATGATCTGTGTCGCTGTCGGCACGCTGTCGACAGGACGTCGAGCGACACCGGTGGCAGTGCCACCCAGGAGTGGTCGGGGGGTCTCCCGTCATGAGAGTGCCACCATGTGATTCGTATGATGGTTGCTGACAACCGCCTCAGTCAACTTTCGTCACAGTTCCCGCTCTGAGAGGAGCTGCGGGTCAGTTCGACAGCTGGAGCTGTGTCGCCGGCGCGCGGCGGCCTGCCTCCGGAGGTGCCTCTGAGGTGGACATTTCTTGGTCACCGTGAGAGAACGCGTTCGAATACGGGTGAATTGGTTGAAACGCGAGATTTTAAGATTAAGTTGGTGGGAGGCCGAAATCGCACAGTGATGACAGTGACATGCAACACGGGGTCCCAGGGAAGGCGAGCACACCATTTTCAACCATCTCTGGCCGAACAGACAACCAGCGCTGACCCTGTGCTCGACCCACTGCCGCTCGCGCCTGTGCCACCGACGCTGGTTCCACCGACGCTGGAGCCAGAATCGGTCGGCCACGACCACATCGTCGGCGGCGAGCACGATCGCGTCGGCATGGGTCGCTGTCGTCGCCACAACCATCGACATCATCAAGCAGCACGCGCCGGCACGACGAGCTCCTCGATGCCCTGAAGGCCGCTCGAGTGACCGAAAGGCGTGTCACGGGCAAAATTTTCCCCTCGCTCTCTCTAGGATGGACCCGGCTCTGGCTCTCGCTTTCTCGCCCCTTTCCTGTGCGGCGCGTACACACGTTTCATTATCATTTGTTCGTCAGCTTTCGCGTTCGCTAGCTACTCATTGCGAGGGTCGCCCCCCCCACTTGCCCCCCACCACTTTGTGTGAGTGGAGAGAAGGTGAGCTAAAGTAGATAGTAAGCTAAAGAGAGTGCACATCAATGCACAATGGACAAAGCACACTAGCCCACCTCCACCCCGCGGCGCGCGCACCGCTCGGGTGCGGCGCGAGTTCTCGCCACACACGTCCTACGGCTGCACTACTAGTACAGGCTCCTGGCGCGGCTCATGGGAGCTCCTCACGGGGCGTCGCCGCACGAGTCGAGCCATCGCCATGCGGCGGCGGAGGAGCTGCCACCGCCGCTGGAGCGGCCCCGCGTCGCACGGCACCGCTCCCATGCTTTTTAGTATGAGGCGCAGGCTGATCTCACGATGCTCCGGGGCTGGGTAGAGCGCCACCGCCACCGTATCGTAGAGCTTACGGTCCTGCAGCACCTGCGGCGTCTGCTGGAAGAAGCGACCGAAAGGAACGCCGCCGCAGCTTGGCTCCTGCTCGTGGACCATGGCGATGGCGATTTTTTTGTCCATCACCGCTTGCACGAGGCGCGCGACAGCGCCGCCGGCGTCAAGAAAGGTCTTGTCGTTCAGGTAGAGCAGGAACACGGGGAAGCCCGCGAGCGGGGCCGCGTTGGCTCCCTCGAGCGCCTCCTCCGCATTGCGGATCGTTACCGTATCGGCGCTGGCGGTAGAGCCGCGCCCCTCCACCGCCGCATTCTTGAGCTCCGTTGCTAAGCCGTCGGCGCCCGCGTTGTCGCGGCACACGAGGATAGTGACGGGGCCGCTGAAGGAAACGGGCCCCGCCTCGCCGGGCACCAGCACTCCCGCAGCAAGCTCGGCCGGGCGGCTCGCGTAGTACGGAGAGTGCAGCAGCATGCGCAGCGCGACAGCCTTGAGCGACACGAGCTGAAATATGTTCACCCGCACCCACACGATCGGCTCCGCCTCCTCAAACACGCGAGCGAGCATCTCGTCTGGCCCGCTGTAGTTAGGGTAGACGCGCTCGAGCATCTCTCTCTCGCGAGCATCCGACTCTGGGTCGCGAGAGATGGAATTGTCGCATTGCTCGCGGCACTCTGCCTTCAGCGCCTCGATCGAGGCGCCGCCCTTTGCCACGTCTGCCTCGAAGATGGGGATGAAGGGCCGATTTGAGGCGAGCGCCGCGTACAGCTCGCGGCGACAGTTGAAGCTCTTGAAGTAGCCGGCGCTGAGGAAGACGAGGAAGTTCATTGCGTCTCTGACCGACTCCTCGAGCCTGCCCACGTCCTCGAGATTGTCGACGTCGAGCCAGATCCGGACGCCGGGGAGAAGTAGCTGGAGTCGCCGCACGACGGTGTGCGTCTGGTCCTGGCCAGTTCCCCAGGCGTGCGAGATGAAGCCGTGGAAGTGGCACTCGGGGGACAGCTCGAGGACTGGGGGGCGACCGGAGGAGACAAGGCGGATGGTGGGCGCGCGGACGGCGCTGACGGTCCTGAAGACGACGACAAGCAGCGATGCGATGAGCATTGCGACGGTGAGCGCGATCACAAACTCACTCGCGCCGCGAGAGTTCTCGAAGCCGACGAGGGTCTTGCACATGTCCTCGTAAGTAGCACTCTCGCAAAGCTGAACCACCGTGCCGGAGATGAAGCAGCAAGCGAGCAACAGGTTGGCGGTGCACGCGAGGTAGAGGTCGTCGTCACGCTTGAAGGGCCGGGCGAGGGCGAGGGCGGCGAGGTAGAGGGCCGAGACGACAGAGGCGACGAAGAGGCGGAGGAGCTTGCTCGACCCGGTGTCTGTCTGAATGAAGAGCACCAGTGAAGCGAGGAAGAGCTTGCGGCCCAGATCGACGACCTCCCAGAAGAGGAAGCGCGGGTCGTAGTCGCGCCAGAGGAAGCGGCAAGCTCGGGCCGTGGCCCTGACTCGCTGCGCCCGCACCTCGGAGCGGATCGAAAGCAGGATAGCCAGGAAAGCTAGCGGCACGAGCACCGGCCAGAGGACGAAGAAGGCCCAGAAGTACGCGTCGAGGCCGCTGTACTCGTCGTCGTCGGCGCTGCAGAGCACGTCGAGATCGGCCACGAGGTAGCTGCGCCTCTCCCCGGTGACGTCGTCGACATTAAACGACTCGCACTGCCGCGCCTTGAAGATGGAGCGAGAGACCGAGGGCAGCACAAGGTAGGCGACGAGGATGGCCCAGTAGAGGAGGCGGCGCAGCGTAACGGGGACGAGGTCGCGCCGGAGGCTGTCGGCGCGACCAGACAAGAGCCACTCCACGGACAGAAGCCACTCCGCGAGGGCGTAGCAGGCGAGGGCGGCGCCTCCGAGCATGATAGAAGCGATCGGCCACAAGCCGGCAAGCAGGAGCCGGGCAGGCATCGAGCCAATGCACGCGTCCGGGTAGGTGAGGCCGAGGAGATCGAGGCTGATCGCGTCCATGAAGTCGGTCCAGCGCGTAAAATCCTGGTGGAGGCGGACGCCGTAGACGGGGCCGAGCGTCCCAGCGATCTGGTAGAAGCTGACCAGGATCTTGAACTTAGGCTGGAAGCCGACCTAAGGCAAATGAGGAAAGGTGTCTCACGCATGGGTTCTGCTTCCATTCTATATGATGGGCAGATTCCACACGGCAAGTAACGTGTAGGAAGGCCCTGGGCAGAGTGTGAGGGGGCTGCACGCCAACCTGCGACTCGCAGATGTCAAGACGTGCTCTGAAGCGGCCCCACGCCTCGGCGCGGGCGAGGGCGCGGTACAAGAAGAGCCCTGTCCCTGCGAGAGCGACGACGACTCCCGCCAGGATGCCGAACCGCCCCGCCGTCGGGCAATCGACGCAGCCTCGCTCCGTGCGACTGAAGTACTGCTCGTCGCTCATGCACCACTCACAGAGCGGGCCGGTGTGGCCTAGGTCGCAGCCTGGGCCGGCACCGCCAGAAGCAGCGAGGCGGCGGGAGGTCTCCGTTGCGCCGCCCGAGCCGCTGCAGTGGTCTGAGGCGTCGCACTTGTGGATCTCGGTGGTGAAGAACGAAGCGCGCCAGTAATCGCGCCGGACGCCGAGGGTCTCGAGAGTGGTATTGGTCGTGCAGTTGGCGTTCGGCGGGCACGCGTTACAGTGCTCGGTCGGGAAGAGGAAGATGTCATCCGGAAGGGCGCTCGCGTCCTGCAGGTAGAAGCCCTCCTTGCAGATGGAGCAGGTGACGTCGCCGCTCTTGGAGCTGAGGGGGTGGGGGCAGAGAGTGCACTGCGACAGGCCCTCGCTCGCCGCGTAGGTGCCCGCCTCGCACTCCTCGCACGCGATGCGGGAGGCTGCAAAGCGTCCGATCGAGCAAAGCTCACACGCGGACATGTTGGCTGAAGGTGCGATGCTACCTGGGGCGCAAGCGGTCGGCTGCGCGGCGCCGCCGGCGCAGAAGCTGCCAGGCGCGCAACCGACGCAATCGTCGAGGCTCTCCAGCGTGGTGGACGCCTTCCCGTTGTAGAAGCCGGCGGGACAGGTCGCGGGCAGCTGAGCGCTGCTTCCCTTGGGACAGAACGTACCCAGCGCGCACTCGAGGCAGCCAGCGGCTCCGGAGTCCGGCTGGTACGTCCCGAGGCCGCAAACGGTACACTGGTCCTGAGCAGGCGAGGCTGCGGTTCCTGGAGAGCACACGGCAGGCGCAGCGCCGCCTCCCGCGCACGACGAGCCGGCGGGGCAGCCGAGGCACTCGGGGTCGCCGTCGGCGTCCGTCACGTTGGCGTACGTGCCAGGCGAGCACTGCGCGTCCAGCTCACGCGACGAACCCTGAGGGCACAGCTTGCCGGGAGCGCAGCGGACGCAGGCGGCCCTGCCGGCCTCGTTCTGGAAGTAGCCCTCTTTGCACAGCTCGCAGGCCTCGCTGCGCGCCTCGGCGGCGAAGCTACCCTCGCGACACGGCGTCTGCTCGGTGGAGCCGGTGGTGGCGAAGTGGCCCGGCGAGGCGTCGGTGCACTCGCTCGCGTCGGTGAGATCCGTCCTGTCCGAGTAGGTACCCGCCTCACACGGCAGCGGCGCCGACGCGCCCTTGGCGCAGTAGTGTCCCGCCTCGCAGTCGCGGCAAGACGTCGCGCCAATGTCGTTCTGATAACTGCCCGAGGGGCAGTCCGTGCACTCACTCAGCCCGGGCTCGCCGCCAAACGTCCCAGCACGGCAGCTCGCGCACGTCTCGCTGCTGTCTGCGCCGGCGGTCGGGCTGGAGGTTCCGGGGGGGCACTGCTGACAGGCGTCGGGTGAGCTGCTGCCCGTCTTCTCGTTGTAGCTCCCCGCAAGGCAGGGCGTGAAGCCGCCGTCGCAGTCCTTGGTGTCCTCGTCGCAATATCCACCCGCGGCACACAAATCGCACGACGTCTGCCCACGCTCCGGCTGGAACTCGCCAGCAGGGCACTGCACGCACGCAGCCTGGCCGGTGAGGTTCTGGTACTGCCCTGCGTCACAGTCGAATGGCCGGACGGTGCCTGCATTCGGGCAGAAGCTCCCCGCGGGGCAGTCGGTGCAGCCGGTGGCGTTGAGCTGATCGGCGAACGTGCCAGGAGGACACTCGTCGCAGCGGCGGACCGCGCCGGCTGTGGACTGGCTCGTCCCCGGAGAGCAAGGGAGGCACGACTCGGCACTGGCTGCGCCTATCGCGGGCATGTAGAAACCCGGCGCACACGGGAGCGGTTCCGCTGTGCCCTTGGGACAAAAGTGGCCTCGCTTACACGCACCATCGCAGGAGGAGTTGGTGAGGCCGCTCGTGTTCCCGTAGTAGCCAGCAGGGCAGAGGTTGCACTCGGGGACGCTGAAGTCGCCAAAAAAGGAGCCCTTGCGCGGCATCCAGCTGCCCAAGCGGCAGTCCCAGTCTATCGGCGAGTTGACTGCCTCTATCGTGGCACCGTCGTTGTCGTCGCCAGCGGTGTTGCCGGTGAAGGAGGCATCGCTGATCGAGGAGCGTTGGCGGAGTTCGTGCAGGTACAGCACCGAGCCTGACTCGCGCGCTCTGTTGTCGATGAAGTAGACACCCGCGATGGAGAGGGACTCACTGATAACCACGTAGACGACGCCGCCGTCCTGCGGTTGCGAGGAGAGAGCGGGGTGAGGCAGCCGTGGCCCTCTCTATCCCTCGCCCCGCTGCCATGAGGGGCTGGAGGGAGGCGGCTAGCACTACGCGGCGCACCCTTTCAGTCGAGCAGCTCGTCACGTTCGAGCCGATTATCGAGACCACACCGCTTTTCGACGCCCAGACGACGCCGCCGTCCTGCGGTTGCGAGGAGAGAGCGGGGTGAGGCAGCCGTGGCCCTCTCTATCTCTTGCCCCGCTGCCGTGCGGCGCTGCTGGAGTGCGGCTAGCTCTACGCGGCGCACATTGCCAGCAGAGCAGCCCGTCACGGCCGAGCCGGTTATCGAGACCGCACCGCTGTTCTCATACGCGATGACGACGCCGCCGTGCTGCGGTTGCGAGGAGAGAGCGGGGTGAGACAGCCGTGGCCCTCTCTATCTCTCGCCCCGCTGCCGTGCGGCGCTGCTGGAGTGCAGCTAGCTCTACGCGGCGCACCCCGTTATAGTCAGTAGCCGAGCAGCCCGACACGTTCGAGCCGCTTAGCGAGACCGCACCGCTTTTCGACGCGCGGACGACGCCGCCGCCCTGCGGTTGCGAGGAGAGAGCGGGGTGAGGCAGCCTTGGCCCTCTCTATCTCTCGCCTCGCTGCCGTGCGGCGCAGCTCGAGGCGGCTAGCTCTATGCGGCGCACATAGCGTGCAGAGCAGCCCGTCACGGCCGAGCCGATGATCGAGACTGCACCGCTGTTCTCATTCGCGCTGACGACGCCGCCGTACTGCGGTTGCGAGGAGAAAGCGGGTGAGGCAGCCGTGGCCCTCTCTATCTCTTGCCCCGCTGCCGTGTGGCGCTGCTGGAGTGCGGCTAGCTCTACGCGGCGCACATCGCCAGCCGAGCAGCCCGTCACGGCCGAGTCGATGATCGAGACCGCACCGCTGTTCTCATTCGCGTAGACGACGCCGCCGTGCTGCGGTTGCGAGGAGAGAGCGGGGTGAGGCAGCCATGGCCCTCTCTATCTCTTGCCCCGCTGCCGTGTGGCGCTGCTGGAGTGCGGCTAGCTCTACGCGGCGCACCCAGCCAGCCGAGCAGCCCGACACGGTCGAGCCGATTATCGAGACCGCACCGCTGCCCAACGCGGAGACGACGCCGCCGTACTGCGGTTGCGAGGAGAGAGCGGGGTGAGGCAGCCGTGGCCCTCTCTATCTCTCGCCCCGATCTGCCGTGCGGCGCTGCAGGGCGGCGTAGCTCTACGCGGCGCACATAGCCAGCAGAGCAGCCCGTCACGGCCGAGCCGATGATCGAGACTGCACCGCTGTCCCTCGCATAGACGACGCCGCCCCACTGCGGTTGCGAGGAGAGAGCGGGGTGACCCTCTGATCTCTCGCCTCGCTGCCGTGCGGCGCTGCATGGGCGCGGCTAGCTCTACGCGGCGCACCCCGTACTCGCCAGCTGAGCAATCTCTGACCGTCGAGTCGATGATCTCGACGTCGCCTGCGCCGTCCGCGTACACAACGCCGCCGTAGCCGCCGTAGTCCGTCGCCCTCCCGTTGACGAGGGTCAGCCCCCGCAGGGTGAGGCTGCAGCCGTCCGAGAGGGAAAAGAGCCCGGTCGACCTCTGGCCGTCGAGCGTCGCGCCCTCACTGCTGCTCGCGACGGTCACCTTGATGTCGGAGGAGCAGCTGATCTGGCTGCCCAGCTTGAAGTCCGCACTGGGCGGCAGGTAGATTGAGACGTCAGCTTCCGAAAAAGCAGCGTCCTCGATCAGGTTGCGGAGCTCGGCCTCGCTCTCCGCGGCGACAAAGCCGGGGGCCAGCGGCGGCGGCGGGGCCAGCGGCGGCGGCGGCGACGACGGTGCGGACAGGGTGAACGTCTCGCTGCCGGAGGAAGTACACGGCAGAGGCGCGCATGTGGTTTCGAGCGTGAACGTATAGCCCGCACCCTTCCACAGGTTACCGTTCCAGCCGTCGCCCCACGAGTCGTTCATGTTGAGCGTGCACTCGCCGGGCGGCGCGGACAGGGTGCCTGAGTAAGGGGCCCCTCCACTGTCGATCAACGCGCCGCTGCACGTCAGGGTCCACGACACCTCGGACTGGTATTGGCCGCCATCCACAGTGACCTGGAACTCGATTGGGGTGGCCGGTGGAGCGATCGGCGGAGACGGCGGCGGGGACGGTGCACATGCCAGCGGGAGCAGCGCGACGAGAAGAAGCAGCCGCGCGCCGCGCCTTGCCCCCGTCCGGCACCGCGCCCGCACCGAGAGCCCGCATGCTCCGAGCAGCAAGAACAAGGCGGCCAAAAGCTGACCGCGCTGCCGGGCTCGGCCAGGCGCGGAAGAGGAGGTTCCGCTCGTGAAGGGAAAGTGGAACGGGGAGGGCAGCTCGATTGAGCGCTCGTCGGCCGGCGGGCCCGCGGGAGGCTTGTCGATCTTGAGCTCGTCGGTGAGCGCGTGGCGGAGCGCGTGGCGAGGCTCCACGTGCCACGCAAGGGCGGCGCAGTGCGGCTGCCAGTCGGCGCACACACTTGGGACCGAGAAGATATCTGACTCGACCGCGTTCGAGTCGGCGACGGTGCGGACCTCTGCAGGCCACGCCGGCTCCTCAAGCGTGGCCGCGAGAAGAGGTTCGAGGGCCCGGCAACGCTGGAGGAAGAGGTCCTTGGTTGGGACTCGAGAAGCGTCCGTCAATCCGTCGTTCGCCCGCCACTCGCCACCGGCGTGCATGCTAGCGACGGGCGCGCCGAGGCCAGTCTCGACCAGCTTCCGCACCTCCAGCATCCCAAGCTTCCCAGCGTCGGCGGGCCGCAACTCGGGCGACGTGTCGTTCACGGGCAAGACGGTGTCGCGTCCCCGAGCGATGATCCCCGTCCTGTTGCTGTAGACGGGACCGACAAAGTCGATCTCGGGCTCGCCCTTGCGCTCCGTGCTGTTGCGCGAGGCTAGGACGGTCTCCAAGTCGGCCTTGCAAACACACAGGCAATCCGTCAGAGGGCGACACAGGCTCGCACACAGCCAGAGGGGCGCTCACCGGCTGCTTCTCGTAAATTTCCTTGACGGACGCCAGCGGCTCGCCAATTAGGTGCAACGGCTCGCCCACCGCCTCGCCGATCTCGTCCATCAGTGCTTCCCACAAGCGCCCCTCGTCGCGTCCGCCCTGAACGGCGCGCGGGCTGTTAGTCACGAGCTTGCGCGGCGCGGATACTAGCACGCGCGAGCGAGCACGCACCGGGTGGTTGGCGGGCGCGCTGTCCGATGACACGATGGCTGCAAACGAGCTGGTGTCGTTGCCGCCAACCTCGCAGACGCCGTCGAGCGATGCCGGCGTGAACGGCTTTGCGACGGTCGCGAGAGGCGCGGCGGTGGCAGAGTACGAAGAGTGCGCAAACGCGGCTCCGAGGCAGATCAGCGCCAGGCTGGCAAAGAGGCGGAGCAAGTTGTAGGACGGGCAGAGCTTGGGCCACGAGAACCGGCCGGAGGCAGAGACGGAGCTGTCCAGCGTGGGAACTGTGGTCGTCTCGACCATGCCCTGAACAGGAGGGCGCGAGACTGGCCGTGTGCGCGGCAAACGGGGGCGGAGGCCGCATGTGTGTGCAGGCGGCGCGCACCGAGTCCGTGGTCGGCGGCGTGGAGCCGCGGGGCGGCCGCGCCTTGTGGGCCACCTTGCCGCCGCCACCGACGTCCTCGTTGCCGTTCGTTCCGAGCAGGGCCCCGAACCGGTTCTTGCCGCCGACCCAGACGTTCTCGACGCGGCCGACCCGGGCGGATGCGCCCTTGCGCCCGTTGTTGCGGCGCGGGTTCGACGGGGTGGTCCAGTCGGAGATGCCCTGCGCGCGCGCAAGCGGTGGGTGCGTCAATAGATGAGGCTCTGCGCGTGCACCGCAGCGTGCGAGGCGATCGGCGCCGTGGCGGGCATCACCCCCGGAGACTCCTTGGCCGAGACGGTCCGGTCGGCGTCGCCCTACGCATCAATGAAAGCGGGGTGGGGTCAAGGGGTGGGTCGGCAGACGCACGGCGCAGAATGTAAGGCGCTCGCCGCCGGCGCGGGCGTCTCCTCCGGAACCTCCTCGCTCGACAGCGGCGCGCCGCCGGTCGCCGCCGGCGTGAGAGCCGGGGCACTTTTGGTGACGCCGTTGGGGGCCGTCGGTGGGTCGATCGGGGTGGTGTTCTTGGAGCAGTCGACCAGGTTGGGCTCGCCCTTGCGCTCGAGGGGTAAGTCGCCGCCAGCCAGCGCCAGGACCTTCTTGGCGCGCTTCGAACGCTTCTTGCTAGCCGAGGAGCTACCAGACTGCAGCAGGCGGAGAAGCGCGAGGAGGCACCCCAGCACGAGGGTACCCACGAGGCGGTAGGGAGCGCTGCCGGCCGTGTCCATGTCGGCCGCCACCTCGCTCTTGGCCTGTGGAGAGGCGCGTTCGCCGGTCTTGCTCCGGAAAGTCGACCCCGTCTCATTGTTGTTGGCCTCGACGGAGAGGGTGCCCATGTGTCGGATACCCTCCCGCTCGGGAAGAGGCGGGGCCTGCAGCGGAGAGGCGGGCTGTCGTGCGTGAGCAGTGTGAGGCAGACGTGTGGCGCCGGGGAGACGGCGTGTCGCGCGAGCGGTTGTGGTTGCGCAAGTGACGGCGCGGCGAGTCGGCAGCTGCGGAGCGGTGGGCAAGGCCCGTGTCGGCGCCTCGGTCTTGATGATCGCGCGCACAGCCGTCGAGCGTGCCTCGGGAAGAGGCGGGGCCTGCAGAGGAGAGGCAGGCTGTCGTGCGTGAGCAGTGTTGGTGAGGGGGGTGGGGGTAGGGTGGCGGTG